CATTGTTGTTTGGCGGGTCCGGGCTGGGGATTCGAACCCGCCACCTTAGGTGTACATGGCTGGTGCCTTAGCCGGTTGAGCTATAGGCGCCGAGCCTTACAAAAATTTTAAAAGTAGCTTATGTCTTGCGGTATGATTCACTCAGAGACCATACTGCTCGGGTCTCCGTGCAATGCATAAGGAACACTCCTTGTGGGGTACATAATTATTTCCTTCAAAGAAGAGGTGCCTAATTGGTAAATTCAATGCTCATAGGGGCACAGGTTAGTGATTCTGAAATAGCTTTCCATGTACACCAGGCCTGAACAAATGAGCAGAGAAGTTGTAGTTAATGTGTTTCTCCTTGTCACAGGAAAAAATTACAAATAGGCAGAGGAAGGCACAAACGAACCCTGTGCCACTAGATTATCATAGACATCAGTATAAACTCATGTTTAGCTTACTGTATATACAGATGGACAGAGATCTACATGTATACACGGCTTAGTATACAGACATGTATTTTTTAGCTCAATCCACATGTAGGACCTAGAAGCAGTAAGATCTAGTAGCAATCAACACTCAGACTAGGTTTCTTTGTTTTTCTTTTTCTTTTTTTTGAGAAGGAATCTCACTTTGTGGCATCACAGCTCACAGCAACCTCCAACTCTTGGGCTTAAGTGATTCTCTTGCCTCAGCCTCCCAAGTAGCTGGGACTACAGGTGCCTGCTGCAACGCTGGCTATTTTTAGAGATGGGGTCTCGTTCTGGCTCAGGCTGGTCCTGAAATCCTGAGCTCAGGCAATCCACCCGCATCAGCCTCCCAGAGTGGTAGGATTACAGGTGCGAGCCACTGCGCCTGTCTTAGACTTCGTTTCTAAACACCAGTCTCTGATAAAGGAAACTAGGGCTCAAGAGAAAAATGGCCCACTACTGGGTATCTACCCAAAGGAAAAAAAGTCATTTTATAAAAAAGACACTTGTCCCCAAATGTCTATTGCAGCACAACTGACAACTGCAAGGATATGGAATCAACTAATTGCCCATCAATTGAAAAGTGAACAAAGAAAATATGGTGTACACACATACACACAAACTTATGTCATGGAACACTACACAGCCATGAAAAAGAATGAAGTTGCAGCAATTTGGATGGAATTAGACAACATTATTCTAAGTGAAGTATCTCATCAATATAAAACAAATATCACGGGCAGCACCTGTGGTTCATTGAGTAGGACACTGGCCCCCTATATTGAGGGGGGTGGGTTCAAACCCAGCCCTAGTCAAACTGTAACAAACAATAGCCAGGTGCTGTGGCGGGCACCTATAGTCCCAGCTACTTGGGAGGCTGAGGCAAGAGAATCACTTAAGCCCAAGAGCTAGAGGTTGCTGTGAGCTGTGACACCATAGCACTCTACTGAGGGTGACAAAACTCTAAAAAATACCCCAAAGAAACAAATATCACATGTTCTCACATATATGTGAGAGCTAAACAATGGGTATATATGATCATAAAGTGGTATAATGAACACAGAAAACTAAGAAATGGGGGTGATAAAAGGGTAAGGGATTAAAAAAAAAATCTGTCAGATACAA